ATCTATTACTATTAACTCTCAATCAGTAATCAATACACGGCTTATGCTCCATTGGGAGTAACAGACGTAAGTAAGTAATTAAGTAATCAATACAGTAAGTAGTATGAAAGAGTTTCTTTTAAAAATAAAAAAAAATTGAATTGAAGATCTCATACTTATCAGACTTGTCAAAAGAGATCATCAATGTGTTTTTTTTTGTTTGCTTTTACTAATATTCTATAATTAGATTACATTCATATTGTAAATAAATAAACCAATGAATGAGTGAATTAAATGAAGTCAGTCAATGAATAGATACTTTAATATCTTAATTCATTCATGATTGGATTGTTTATATTACCTAGAAACAAAAAGAAAAACAAAAAAAAGTAGTAATGATGATGTGCCTATATCTTAACAAATACATATTAAAAATAAATACAATCTTTAATATTATAAATGATTAAAAGGGTTACTGTTTTTATAATACACTACTACTACTACCACTACCACTACCACTACCACTACTAATAATAATAATAATCATTGAATTATGCTTATAGTACATGTTGCATTACCTACATTTATTTGTGTAGAACAATTTATTATAACTAAATTATATTTTAAAAGATCTATTCATACTATTACATATGATAATCTTATTACAAAATTATGTGAATATACTAAAACAAAAAAAGGAAAATTTTATATATCATGGCATGGTAAGTATATTTTAGATATATATATTGATCATTTAAATGAACAAAAGGGGTTTTTTGTGAAGATTTTTAGTAAGTTAATAGTTGAATTCATGAGTTCATGAAAGTTAGACCATTATAGGAAACCTGGAAGCATTGGACTTACGTTTCGTTCTATTGTGGAACTCCTCGGCAGTGCGCATCCACGATCCAGTCTCATGAGATATCGAACCCAGAATCTATCAGTCTTGCGCACTTAGGAGTCCCACAATAGGATAAAACAGACGTCGAGCGCTTCCAGCTTTTTCATGGTGGTCTAGTTTCAATTGACACATGAATACAACTATGAAAATTCATTTAAATTACGTGATTATAATAGTGTATATTATGTTGTTTGAATTGTTTCATGATGATCTGTAAAATATTCTAGAAACTTATATGGGTTGTAAGTAGGTAGCATTTAGGATTAGACAAATATAATTTTAGTTATTACCCAATGATTTATCAATTATGATTACCTTAGTTCTTTTAATAGGTCAATTACAACACAAAGAGATCCATTGTAACGTGTCAGATAATGAAGCTGAGTGATTTGCATTCGGATCTTATAGGAAGTACCATTTTTTTAAAGATTTCAGGCATGCATTTCTGAGGAGTGTCAAATATCATAAAACCTAGATGGAACAACGTTTTTTGCCGACCACTTCAAATCACCTATAGATTTCATTGAATCTAGATTGGCTTCATAAAGTAACTTGAAAAGATTGAAAAAGATACATACGAGTAAATACTGGATAAAATATTGGTAAGAGAATCAGATGATAAATGAACTGATTTTAGTTTTGCGATAGCAACAAGAACATTCACTCTAGAAACATAAGTATAAAATAGAAAGAACAATGTTACAGTTGCTGATAACAAAATCTAAGAAAAAAGAATTATGTAACGGTAATAGAAGTAACAAGTGATTGCGTGATTACTAAATATAAACTAGAGTATAGATTGAAATTATATATGAAGATCAATAAGATAAAATGAGTTAAAAGTGAAAACGTTTAAAAATGGGTTATTTGATTACAATCATAGTCACCATGACAGAGAAAGAGTTGCCACGTTTTCCTTCTGCCCACAAAGGTGAGGATGGAAGCACATCTTTAGTTGTTACCTTTACAAAACGATGTAAAAGATATGTTTGGTAGTTTATTAACTACTTTGAATGTATGATTGATATTCAATTTATGCTCGCTAAACATGAAGTGTTCAACGACTGGATTTGTTAAGGCTTTACTGCCTTTCAGACATAGGCTCTTAGAAGCGTGTTAAGAAAGCCTAGTAGTAACCCTTCTCTTCATTTTCTCTATAAACTTGCTACACATAAACTCATAGACGCCATTGTAGGTGACATCGTAAGGCTATTGATCTACCTTCGAATGATTTAGCAAATGTTTGATAATCTGTATTAAAATCATTAGAGCTTCAGAAAAGTAACAAACAACCTACATCAGTTTTACTCCATTTTGCACAGTTAATTACTATAAGACACTTCTGACAAGTCAAACATTTGTTTAGCTTCTTTGCAGCTGGTGAAAAGCTATGAAATAAAATAAAACCATTTTATTATGTATACCTCGTTATCCTTGCTCTATTTAATCTTATCAAGGAATTTCGTTGTATGAGTCTTTCAAATACATTTCCAAACAAAATTTACACTTGTCTGGTAGGTGCTCCCAACTAATAGAGACCTTCTTTCAAGCTAAATTAATTTAAATATGTCGTCCTAAATTAATGTTATATTGATTACTAGGTGTCAATCAGTTCAATGTCCACCGATGTTCATTATCAAAGTAATCCTATTTATTACAATATCCAAATTAACTTACCAAACCAAACTTACATAAAACCACCAGTTATCAGTTATCGTGATGATATGGCATTATAATCGCAGCATAGGAAAGAAATACATTCTACAAATTCCCTAGACCTTTTTATATTATTTCTCTTTCTTAAAAGAGGAAACTAGTAACCTTCCTGCATATTGTTAACCTCTGAGAGCAACATGTAAATTAATTTATTGAGTAGACAGTCTGATATTGGTCAAGATGATGGACAGATTATTTTACTTAACTATTTAGTCAGTGTAGATGAAAACCAAGATGGAGGTGGTTGGCATAATAAACCAGAATTCTACCGAACATGCTCTTTGAGGTCGCCTCTATTGTGGGTAACAGAATATTTCACTAACCATATAAGAATTAATCACACACTAAATAATTATTTAGGGAATTGTTGTACAACATTCGTTTATAGTATTAGTTGACTGAAGCTTAATTAACTACTTCCTAGATAGGGTCTTGAAGACTATCCAAATTAGTGTCTTGAAATATTATCATTATAGTTTACAATAAAAGCTAATGTTGATCCCTTTGTAATGTTTATTACATTCCTCGTAAACAGTAAGATGCCTGTTTTAGTCAATAATAAAATCAATCTTCAGTTTACTCATATTCATACCTTGTTGTTTAATGTATGCTATCATGATTTTCATTGACTGATTGTAGGATGACGTATTTCTTATTATTCTATTAAATCACGCTTTATCTGGTTATCATCATTATCTTTTATGGCTTTAAAAAGAAGTTAAAAAAGACCATAATGTAAATAGAGCCTAAGATAATAGTAATACTGTTAGAATAATTTCGGAATAATGGAAACACGTAATCCTGCTAAAAGATTCATTAATATCATTTAAAAACGTTTATTCAATAGATCCTGGTACAGTGATCTGACAGTAAGTGTACTCGTCATAACAAATTAGGCTGTTGAAGTTTGATCTAAAAAATATAACTTCAACAATAGTTTAGGTATTCTATGTTTTAAGTGAGATCATAAACCGATTAATGTTAGATCACCATTGAAAATCTAGAAGCACTGAACGGTCGTTACCCACCAAAGGTAATGAAAGATGGTCGCGAAATATCGTTGATTGAAGTTAGACATTAATACAGTTGGATACCGACTCAGTGATCTAGAGGTAAGACGTTCGTGTTAAACCGAAGATCCCGAGTTCGAGTCCAGTGTGCGGGATCGTGGATGTGCGTTGCTGAGGAGTCATAGACTAGGAAGAAACTGCCTCTCAGTGCTTCCACGTTTTCCATGGTGGTGTAACATTGGTTGGTTCATAATCTCAACTAAAACTCAACAATGTCCACAACCATACATCGATCTTCTATATTTGTTCAAGAAATAATAATTCAATATTCATTTAGTCCATGAAAATTTAAGAATATCTTGATAAAAGCTCGGTTATTCTTTATAATCTCCCACTATTAAGCAATGTTCTTAATTGATGATGACAAATAATGTACAGAGTTGTTCCAACAGATATGTTAAACATTGATCATCCATTAAATCACTTTTTTTTGTGGATCTCCACTGTCTGAGGTTTTCAATTGAATATTATTATGCTGACTGATATCCAGTTAAACTTTTGCTCAGTCTGATTGATAAATAAATCTAAACATAAAAACCACTGAACTTTGATGAAATCGTATAGAATATATGTTACAATATCCAAAGGAATAACTATCGGTCATTAAATGAACATCAAACTTTCCTTCATGAATTCCACCATATAAGATTTAGTAGACATGACGTTTTAAAACAATGATAAGCAATGACTGATTTCACTTGGTTGTATCTATCGAAAAATAGACTAAATATACTTCATCCTGTTCAGAACTCATCAGTTGATTGGACCTTAACACGAGGATTAATACTTTTACAGAAACTTCAATCGACTTCAGTAAACTTTAAATCTGAAAGTTATTTATTGCTAGGCTACAGAACACAGATAATGTAATGATGTAATGCATCATTTTTAATCAATCAAGTTGTCAAATAAATAAAAAGCAAAAACACTACTCTTCTAGGGAACGTACTGCATGAAATTTAATTTAGATAGGTTATTGTTTAGTCTATCAATGATGTTTACGTACAAATCAAAATTTACATTAGTAACAGAAGTTGAGAACCGGTAAATCAGAACTCATAATTTGAATATATTAACCAATTATTAACATTAATTTGAGATAATGACTGCATATTTCATGAACCCATTTTGTTTATTAAAATTATTTTATGTTAGACATCAACACCGTTGAATGCCAACCAGCTCAGTGATCTAGTGGTTAGGCGCTCGCGCGAGAGACTGATAAGTCCTGGGTTCGAATCTCGCGATGCGGGATCGTGGATACGCACTGCTGAGGAGTCCCATAATAGGACGAAACGGCCGTTCAGTGCTTTCAGGTTTTCCCTGGTGGTCTAGCTTCAATTAACTCATGATTTCAATTATGTTTATTAAAAGTAAGAATGTATCTTTCCACCAAATTAACTTTTCACATATGGGCAGTAAAAGATATCAAAACAGAACATATTATTCAAAGACAAAACAATTCACCACTTCAGTATGAAATACTAGTCAATAACATCTGTCATTCCATTTCATAATTAACCTGGCCAACACTAGAATCAACCACTACATCACTGTTATTCAACAAAGCAAGAATATCGACATTTGTAGAATATGATGTATTCATTGTATTTTATTGGTTTCATTAGCACATCATTAATTAGATATAAAGCATAATGTAGATTTTATGAATTCATCTAAAGTTATCAATAAACAGTCAAATTGCACGCCATTTAAAATTTGCAGAAGTTATGCCAATTAAAAGACTTATTCAGGATATTTGTATTCAAAAAGAATCAGCAGTTAACTTTCATCTGGCATGGTAGAATTTCGACCGCTTTTTTCAATCCAATATAACCATAATTCAGTGAGTTTAATTCACATCTCTACTTTCCTTTCTTAAACTTTCAATTAACAAATACAAATTATCTTGGCATTCTAGAACTTATTATATTAAACCATTATCAATAGACCCTGTTTTGAAAGTTTAATTTTTTAGTTCTGTCATACCATACACAATTCTTTCAATTATTGATTGATATTTCAATTTTAACAATATATCATTAAAATAGAAACAGTTAGCTTGGTTGTAGCTAACGAGAAAGCAACAAAATACAATGAATTCTTTGTATTCTACAAATAACAACAACACTTTTATCGTTGTAAGCGTGAGTCAATTGAAGCTAGATCACCATGGAAAACCTGGAAGCACTAGACGGCCGTTTCATCCTATTGTGGGAATCCTCAGCAGTGCGCATCCACCATCCCGCCTCGTGAGATTCGAACCCAGGACCTACCAGTCTCGCTCCAGAGCACTTAACCGATAAACCACTGAGCCGGCATCTGATGGTGTTTTATGTCTAACCCCAACCAATCCACTTAAAATTGTGAAATAAACTAATTGAATGAAACACAAAACACCACACATATATACACACTCTTTCTCAATTAGCCAGTATGATATAGGATTGGAAACTGTCACCAATATGGCATTATATTTCCATCTTAATATCACAGAACAATAGGCGGCAAAAGGAGAACACACCATACGATTATTGACCAATGCCGATGAGTGCAGGTTGTGAAACATTCTACATGCAATATTCCTCTTATCTCTTCATTATCAATGTTCATATTATGTTTATGTTATGTTTAATTTCGTTTGTTTGTTTTGAGAAATGGAAGTATGGTTTACTCACTTGTTTGCTATTTTCTATTCACATGATTGTTATGACTAGCACCCATTCTTTATTTAAGTATTGTATGCTACAATTTGCATGAATGATACTATCAAATGATATCAATAGAAATCACTTGTCTAAGTATACAAGCAACATGGATAAAATAAATGAATTAATGAAATGTGAATGAATCTTTGGAAGTGAGATTATTCGAGTCTATATTTTTTGATCAGTAAATTTATGGAAATGTATCAAGTGATTTGTTGAATGACTACAGTGTAATGTTATTGGTTTAAAGTATGCTAGGATATAATTGGATGGAACCTTCAATGTGTACCTAGGTGTTATTTTTGATGTCACTTAATGGATAAGTAAGAAGGACACACTACAACAGTATTCATATTTGGAGTCCTTCATCCCTAAGTGAATAACTAGAATTGATCAGTTTACTCTCTTATTTATGTGACTAAACTAATTAATCGTCGTGTGAGATTTGGCTATAATGGATATTTCTTCTAGTTCATTTCTTGATCAGTTAATATTTTTCTTTATCATTCTAAACTTGTTTCCTGTTCAACTGTTTATAGAATATTTATGGGTATCACATTCAAGTTTATTTCAAAAGGACATATTTGTAGTGTCAGTTATGTTGTCACACTGAGTAGAAACTGAATTCTTGAGCAATTGGTTTAATGTAAGTGGGGAATCTTCCATTAAGTTAAATTCTTATAAAGTTTTCGTAACAAGCAGTCAAACTATTGGACAGATTAAATTCACTCAGTATAGTTTGTTTGAATCTTCCTGTTGATGTTTTAGGACTGCAACCAGTCAGTCTCTAATTGGCATATGTGCATACTGTGCGTATTGCCTCGATATAGCCTTAATTCACAAGCATGGTAATCAAAGATGGCTAGTGGCTAGCAGTGGAATCCAGGACGCGCGTTTCATCCTATCAGGACTCAGTGGCCGAGTGGATAACGCTAGGGCGTTTGAAGCGAAAGGTACTGGGTTCGAGTCCCAGAGTGAACATCAACTCTGAGATGCAGGTACATCCAACTGACGAGTCCCAAATAGGTTGAAGTGGCGCGCATCCTGGGTTCCACTGTTAGCCACTGTTCATCTTTGCTTACCATATTGTATAGATTCTTATTAGGTTCAAACAATCTATTTTCAAGCATTAAGTTTCATTGTCATCAAACATTTCAACTGAAATGTAGTCGGGGCCCGAGCATATAGTTGCTCATAACACTAAAGTGTAAAAACAACTTTCAAGCAATTATTTATTCATTTTTTACGTATGAAAATACTGAATTACTAACTAATTTTCTTAGTTTTCCGATAATCAGTTCACTGATGAACATTATTGAGGAGTTGTTAATCACTCACTTCACATTCTTTGCATTCGATAGACAATGAGATTTTAGTTTACATCAACACGCTTACTTGTTCAGTAGTAACAATAAGAGGTAAAATAAAAAGTAATTGTCCTTATTTGGAATTATAAAACACATGTAGAATACTGTTAATGTCTATAGATAGATCTATTCCATTAGATATAAACTACTTACTCAGTTTGCTTTTATATTTCATACTTTCATAATTTGTATTTACACTCTTTAGCTGTTATTTTGTATCTAGGGTTCGCATAATATTATCTGAAAGCAAATAGTAATGTATCCAATGACATTGAAACCGATATCTCATGCCAGATTGACAGACTCTTATAGCATAGGTTTGTAGTGCATGTCTTTTGAATTGCTACAATCCATACATTGATTTTCCATTTCCAACTATTTCTAAATAAATGAATAGGTTACATTGACTTAGATCAATCATGACTTCTTTGGTAATTATCTTTTCGGTAACTACTATCATTGTTTAATGAGTTTCAGTCTATGAGTTAATTAAAAGATTATATTGGAGAGATTACAAAGGGAATTCATAGCACTGAATGTTCTATTAGGGTCCTTCAAATTTTACTAACAATAACCTAATTAAAATGGGTTATACTGATCATTCATCGTGAATAATTTTTAAGAATTGAAGCGAGAGAGGGAAGTATACTGCTTGTTATAAAAATTAATAATTAAATATATATTGTTTTATCAGTCTACAATGGATTACATTAAAATGATTTCTTTACATCTAACAATAATCGAGGAATTTTCAATACGGAGTGCTGAAGATTGTTGAGTTTCATATAAGTCATGAACTGATCAATGTTGAACAACCATTGAAGACCTGGAAGCACTAAACAGTCGTTTTATCATACTATATGACGCCTTAGAAGTGGGGATCCGCGATTTTTACATGTTAGACTCAAACCCACCAGCAGTTCTAAGAATCATTAAGAAGGTTCAAATAACTAATGGAAATGAATTAAATATATCTATCGATATTGCAACAGGAAATCGGTTTTTAATACCGTCCATCTAATTGTGAATGTAAGAATATATTAATCGTGTACTGTCTAGGATATGGTATGAAGTTCAACTTGTTGAAATTGACATGCAATACAACGACACTGTGTGGAAAGTAATTTCCAAGACTAGATGTGAAATGAGTGATAATAATAATAATGGCTGAAAGTAAAAATTCAACTTTATGTTTATAATTTAAACGGTTTGACTAGGAATAAAGAATGTGAGGGAGTATGTTGTACAAACAATCTCATGAATTTCAGATTATCTTAGATTTCGTTTCGCAGCCATTAAATACATCCATATATGTCGTTACAACTGACTTTTTCATGTGTTATTATTCTTGTCATTAGCCTTATTCAATATTATATTTTTGGTACAATATGGAATTCTTAGAACAATGTATTTCAACAAGTTTCCGTTTCTTACTACCTGATCGACCCTGACGACAAATATTGAGTGATCACCAATTGGATGTTAGCAGTCCAGTCAAATGACGTCTAAATAATGTTCATTCTTTTCAATACATATTGCTAGCAACCACAATATCTCTGATTAGGCCTTTTGTAACCTTTACAGCGAAAAGTTGTACACTTTTCAGAAACGCGCCTGAATAGTTTGTTCCATTAATAGCCATAATGATATATTAAAACAAACAAAATAAGATAACTTGTTGAAAAATCTAAATGTCAGGAACAGGTAGCCCAAATGTTCAAGCAGGCCGCCTCCACTTGTATATATATTAATCATAGATAACAATTATTCAGTGAATGAGAAACAATTCACTTAACACTGTTAACCAATTAGTCTCTATTGAATTTATAAATCGTCATGACTTTACACTAATAATTAATCAATCAGTACATTTAAGTAAAGATATTTGGTTTGATTTTGTTTATTTTTAACTTCTGTCACTCAATGAATTTATTTTATAAGTTAATATCATTGATAAGCCGAATAACTAATGCACCAAATGAACCGGCTTCCATATTTTAAAAAAAGTAGCTGTCTAGAATTCTCTTTACTTCATACGTGATTGATTGAGTTTTTGAAAAACTTTAATTGTGATCATAAACTCATCAATGTTAGACCACAAATGAAAACCTGGAAGCTCTTGACGGCTGTCTCATTCTAGAATGGGACTCCTCAGTAGTGAGCACCCACGGTTCTGGACGCTGGACTCGGACCCGGGACCTCCAGTTTCACACGAAGGTCTAACATTTAGATCACTGAGCCGGTATCCAACTGCATTGATATCTAACTTCAATCAACCAACAATGCTGCGAGATAATCTTGTTTGTTTTTAAATGAATATATAACTAGATGCATTTAATACAAACGAATCCATTCATGTAAACAATGAACTCTTCCAAAAATATAAATGACGAAATCAGAAGTGAATAGGCAGATAACAACCGATATAATCTATCATAAACCACGTGTAACATCTGAAAGAATATTCAATGGAATTTAAATCTTGGTTTTCGCTGACTCCAGTTTGATTGAATCGTCGTTATTGTAGAAGAAATATAGATCTTACGTCGTTTATATTCTGTTGACAAGTCCTGTCAATAACAAAGCAGTAATGAAATATCGAATACCAGTGTTACTTATGTTTACATTTCATACATTCAGTTCGGTTGATAGACGAAGAGTTATGAAGTGAAGAAGTTGAACGTTCCTACTCGCAATGTTACTGACTGTGAGCGTTTATATAACTCAAAATAGATAATACGTTATGTAACAAGAAGATAGGCATTGGATAAAATAATAAGTGTACAAACAAGCATACAATCACTCGTGAGATGCATAAGTATGGAATTACAAGAACATAAATATAAGAGATATATTTACTGAAAGTCGCATTTTCCTACGGAGTGAGTAAAGTTATTAGGTTGGTAAAAATAACTGAATAGTCATATGATATTTGAATTATTAGCCTGTCCGAAATTTAGGATCAATCAAGTGGATGCATAAAAACATAGAATGACTTTGAAAATGCTTTTCATCACGAATTGACCTCAACTAGTGAACTATTAGAATCCACTGAGAACAGAACAGCTATTTCATCCTAGTTTGTAAAGTTGTTTTCAAAGGGTTTACCTATAACTCAACCAGGAGTAGAACTTAAAATCCTAAGATTTTGAGGTGAATGAGTTACTTGAAAATCGTATAGGTCAAATTTCTAACTGCAGTCAATTTACAAGGTGACGTAACAGTCATCGGATATCATCCACGAGGAAAAACTATCAATACACCCTCAAATTTAAAAATAAACTTATTTCGAAAACTGAGAACAACATTAAAATAACATTATTAGAACGACGGTTTGTGGAAATTATAGTGATTTTAATAGTTTAATTCATGAGTCGATGTAAGCTTGATCACCATGGAAAATTTGGAAGCACTGGACGAGATCGTGGATGTGCACTGTTAAGCAGTCCCATACTAGGACGAAACGGTCATCCGGTGCTTCCAAGTCTTCAATGGTGGTCTAGTTTACATCGACTAATGAATTCAACTATCAAAAGAACAATTGATGCATCTTAAAAATACAAAGTTTTTAAAGCTTATTATAAAAAATGTGCCTTAATAAATATGTTTTAATAAGAAAGCACAATTATGATTCAATACGTTAACTAAACTACCATCCTTGATCAAGAAACATTTTTATATCCATGATTATATTTATAGTAATTCGACATTATTAATTAATACAGAATCTTCATAGTTGAAAGCCTAAGTTAATTGAAGCTAGACCACCAGGGAAATCCTGGAAGCACTGGACCACCGTTTCGTCCTATTATGGGACTCCTCGACAGTGAGCATCCACGACCTCGCCTCGCGAGATTCGAACCCAGGATATATCAGTCTCGCGCCAGAGTACTTATCTCATAGATCACTGAGCCAGCATCCATGGTGTTAATGTCTATCTTCAACCAATCCACTAAGTTGAGCAACCGTTCACCAATTGTCTTCAGTGAGGTGATATGTCACAACAGACGTGGTTTGAACTCCACTGTTCACTCCACAAAAACCCCCTTCTGATAATAATACAAAATCCTTTGGTATGTATATCAGTGTACTCATTTTTTTAAAACAATTACTAGTCGAAAATTCGTCTCTTCATTATTCTTATGTGATTATTTTTTTTAAACATTTTACTTTCACAGATGGAACTGAATATTGTACAGTGTCGAATTCATCTAATCTGAGAGAAGCAATTGTACGAATGATATATGATCGTGAAGATAATACACCTTTATTATTTGCTGCCCCAGTACTTCACTTAAATGAAACGAAATTACCTTCATTCTATGGTGGATGTAGACCAGAGAATTTACCAAGTGATTTTCGTGAACGTGCATCAAGAGCTGTATTTAATAAAGAAATCGATTACAAAGAACCTGAATTACCTGTTATCATTGAATTAATATGTAACATATGTAATAAAAACAATTGGTGTGGTGATCGATTCACATGTGTTATATGTCCTAGAGTTGTATTATGCCCTGATTGTTTTAAAAAGAACCATCACTCAGAACATCCAATGTTGATTACTAGAGATAATGCAGAATTTCCATGTCCAGTATTACAAGCAGTTAAAATTGTCGCTTCAGATGTTACTGTAGAAGATTCTAGTGATGAAGAAGATGAACAATCAGACTTATCTGATCCTAGAACATCATCATCTACCACTGCAAATGATTCTGATGATATTTACAAAACAATTGATGCACTTCGTGAAATGGGTTTTAAACAGAAAACTAGTGAATTAGTTGAATTAGTCATAAAAGAACGTGGTAATTTACAGACAATTGTTGAAAAGTTAGCTAATTAAAAATCGGTGTTCTCAATGTTTTCCAGAGTCATCAATCATCAATTCCCGTTTCGGTAGATATCATTGATTATTATGGTTCTACCAAAATTGGTTTATATAATAACAAATTAAATGATGTTCTTGTTTTTATTCTTCTTTTATATACTTATTTCAAACTTTCCATATTTTGAGCATTTTACTTTTTACTACTTATTAGTAAGCTGAAATGGTTTTCAAAAATGTTAGGTTGTATGTGCCTTCTATGGTTCAACTGTCAGTAGATCGTGACTCACTAAATTTGTATTCATAGACTCCTAACAGTACGATCGTTCCCAAAGAGAAGGGTTATGTCCCGAGAATAATAGATCGGACAATTCGGAATTTTTTACAAAATCAAAATTCTTTTTGAACACTTCACATGAAAAATTGTAATAAAAAATAGATTTTTTAACAGTGAGTAAAATAAAATACCATGTTTAACCATCAGACTAGTAAAACTAGAAAAATAACAAAAGTGGACTATAATTACGATGATATCATCCAGAAAATCAGTAGTTAACAGAAGGTGAATCAACCTAGTTAAAATAAGACTTTAAATTAGGTTCAGTGGTAGCTCGAACTCTTTAGCTAGGTATATCTTCCTACCTAAAATGACTAATATTCTCCAAAGGATCCAAAACCATCACCACTCGGTGCTATAGTTCAAGATATAGTCATTTGAGAATATCACACCGATTTATGTCCTGTAGTATTGAGATGTTCGTATTATCTAATCTCATGTTTATATGGTTATTTCAATTTAGCAAATACTATCAATTTTTGACAGATTTAATCGTCGAGCTAAATATTGTCTGAATAGGTATTACATAGAGAAAACGTGGCATGTAATATTTTTGTTTTAATAGGCTATAAGGTTCACTAAGTTAGTTAACCTTATGACAACTTGGAAAATCAACCTATTCTTCTGAGAATATACAACTATCTCTTTAAATAACAAAAATATCCTATTGCAGATTTCAACAAATTGACAAAACAAGATGTTATAGGTCATTATATGTCAAAATTATATTCGAAATAATCTTAGCGATTGAAGTGATTGGAAAGATGTAGAAAATTACCGTTAGACTAAATGAGATTACCGCTAGACTACTCAAGTGTGAAAAGAATCATATATATTTCAATAAAATGAATTAGCTTTCGTAAATGAATGGTGTCATGAAAACATTCAACCAACAAATGATTAACACTAATTCTTCACATGTTCAAAAGTACAGATTGATCTATGACATTCTAACACTTCTCTATGAATAATTTTGTGTCACATGGTTGAGATCTACTGTCAAGGCGCTCTAGATGTTCGTTTGTCCTAGTTAATTAACGTTAGAAATCAATGAATGCAATCTCTATAGGGTCCTTACTCTTCCGATCCTGAGAGATCCTTATTAATAACAACCAGAACCAAAGTCAGAGATACTTTTACTTACCTAACCAATATTTAACTGATCTCCTGAAGGTTTGAGATGTCTATACACGGACTGATCATTTACAGTATCTCGATGACAGTCGATTAAACTATTGATCTTATTGTAAATCCAACGACAAAATCTGATCATAACAGAGGACTACAAAACAAGACATTGGTTACTGTGAAGTAATGAATTAGTCAGTCAGATAAACTAGATTTTTTTATCCGATAGGTTACTATTTATTTTTAAGTGGTATACCATAAAATGTAATTTTTCTCGTCAAATTAAGTTAGGCAACGAGAATTTTTCACAGTTGTAATTAAATCGAGATTTTCTAATTCTGTTTGGAAACCCAAAATGACCTTAGAAATGCAACACCAACCTTAACGACCAAATGCTTGTCTCAATGGAATGAGAAAATGTTAAGTGAATAACTCGATTAACAGAGTAAGATCTTTAACCATGATTATAGAAAGCAAAATGTGTTCTCTATGCCCTTCCATAAGTAGTACTACTCCAGAGTGTCCTCCATCATATAAGATTATTTTAAGGTGATCTGACAGCATCTGACGATGATGACACCAAACTCTTTTTAACTTCCTACTCGAATGACGTGAGTTAACCCGATAGATCAATAAAAAATGACATAATATTGGCAACAAATAACATAATTTATATTTTGCGGAGGTAGACGATTATGCAACTCTCAAACCAGCTATGGAACAGACAAGAAAGATGTCTGACGTAAGCCGTACGAAAAAATAACATTAATCTCCGCTTAAAGCAAAAGATTCCAACATCAGAATAACTTGTAGTAAGGGACTATTCACCGATACATCATTGATCATTTCACTGATTAGGGTCTCTTCAGATCTCTGACTGGGTTCAAAACTTACATTCCATTCCAACTTCTCATTATTCTACGTACCAGAAATCTAGATCACTAAGGACACTTTCCCAAATAATTTACCTAAAACGATCTAAACATTAGACCCACCGGAATTAAAACTGATGATATACACAGTTCAGGATGAACACAAATCGAATAAAGTAAAGCGAAGTCAATAAGCTTTACAAAAAGTAATTATTGAATAATATTACTACATCATTTGTGTAATAACTAAATATAACACCATTTTTATTTATGTATACAAAGTGATATTGTATTGACCTGAAATGATCACACATAACAACGTAAATTCTGTTATAAAAACATAATTAACAGTTTTAGGGAATCACAATGACCAATAAGGGTTCACAAGATAATCACACATTTATCTTTCAAATCATTCATTCACTTATCGATTTACTATAACTTATTGTATTGTATATTAATGCAATTTGGATGAAAATGATCAAGTCATTCTACTAATGGTGTCCTGATAAAATGTTATTCATGTTCTTAACTATCATCTAAATATATGATTACATATGAAATACTGTAGTCTACCTATTGGATTGTGCTGTCATTCGAGTCTAATACTGACATATATGCTTTCAATATATGTGCCCAATTTGTTATTTGAACGAACAAACTAATAGTAAATAGGAAGGTTTTCTTGACTAACCCGAATCGAAATACATCAGTAAACTAATTCATCAATGTGTGTCTTCAGAAAGTTAGACCAGATTTTTAACCATTAGCATATGTTTGTCTTCTTCAGATAATCAAGAGAAATCTTGACCACTTTAGTCTAATTGTTAGCATCACTCACTTATCATTTGACCTTGGGCAGATATGTCTGATAAGCTTAATCATTTTGAGTCCAGCTACAGGAATTGAGTTGAGGATAGATCACTGCACCACGTATTATCTATCTCTCATCTATAAAACAAATCATTACTAGGTTTTATAAAACCTTTCAGCAAAAATCACAATCTACTAATCTATCGTGTTAAAAGTGCAAGATTTTAAGATTCAGAAAAAGACAAAGTTTCTAAATGTAGTAAACAGTTTACAAAGTCAAGTTGAATAAATTTTAGATCTACTTCAGTCGACTGATAGTGTCATGTGTTCATTAGACGACCTCATCTGTGATAAATATCTCATTTTATACTCATTTAGTATCGTTTTGTTTGAATCTTCCCATCGATGTGTTAAGACTGCAACTGGTCAGTGACGGAGTGGATAACGCGATGGCGTTTGAAGCAAAATGTACTGGGTTCGAGTCCCAGAGTGAACATCAACTCTGAGATGCAGTTACATCCAGCTGATGAGTCCCAAATAGGACGAAACGCGCGTCCTGGATTCCACTGCTCGTCACTATCAATCTCTGCTTACAATCTCATTTTATAGTTTATGACCTTGTATTAAAACTTTGTGATATTTCAATAATGCAATGAGAAGACGAAGTTTATCAGAATTATGTGATATATTTGCTCAATACATTTCGAACAATCTGACCACACATATACTTGTTAAGACAGTTTTATATGAAAATTAAAAGGTCAACTATACAATATAAAGGTAAACCGTAACAAAGAAAGAAAATTAATAAAGTACATAAAAACAATGTGATAACCACCCCGGATAATAAATCAGCATTACCAGAGTAGGTTAAGGGTAAGAACAAATTGTTTTTGAACACATAAAGGGGGTTTCAATTTCCGTATAGCCAAGGCTTCAATAAACTTTAGTATACGTCCTTGAAGGCTTCTGTACAATACTACATATGCTGACTTGATGTCAACCTTATGACCAGTTTCAACCAAATATTTCGCAATGGAGGAAGATTTCTGTCTGTCCTGTGATCTTATTTGACTATTGGAATTCGTTTGTTTCTGCAGCCGTTTAGATATGTGTTCCGCCACCCTCCCTGTATACCTGTTTCCACACATACATGTAAATTGGGATGTGACACAACCGCTTATGTGCTGTTTGGGTTTTTGGTGAAACATAAACCCTATTTTTCCAATGATGACAATTTGGGCTGCATAAAATGTCCTGTCTATGGCTAATTTCAGTCTCCGTTTCAACATGAGACTATTTGAGTCGCCCCTAAATGGCAACATAATATAAACTCGCTTTTTGAGTTCCAGAAACGTCACAGGTCTAATCGTATTGCAACAAAGACAATATGCTCTTTTGTTATGAACACTTTATTTACAAATGTACCCCTTAGGAAAACTATTGGTACTTTATGTGACTATATTTCATTGAATAACCTTCCATTGCCATTTCCTGTTAAGACTCTTAAAGATTTATTATTATTGTGTACTGACAATGTAAAATTCACTGTTGAAGGTGAGCACTTCCTACAAACCGATGGCGTAGCTATGCGTAGCCCTTTAGGACCGTTGCTGGCTTATGTGTTTATGGGGTATATTGAAAATCTAGCTGAATACTCAATTCAAAAGATGTGTCTGTATAAACGATACGTTGATGACATCATAATTATAGGGGATAAGTGTGAAGATGTTAACCGCTTGTTAAAAGAACTTAATACAAATCAAATCGAATGGATAATGTTGGGATGACTAATATGAAGTGTTAACTAGAATCAGCTTATAAATGAAATGTAATTGTGAAATAAATGATCAGAATAAATATAGTTGACATGGTGTGAAAGAGAATAATGTAATTACAAATCAGAAATTACGTAATATGTAAAATAATATGAATTAGGTCAGATATAGTAGATAGGGGTGGACGCTGAATACATTTCTCAAAAAGGTTGGCAAGTGTGACGATAATAATAATATTAATGACGATGGTAAGATGTGTAGATAAGTTTAAGATATAAAATTAAACATTGATCAAATTACGTCACCATATTATAAAATCGAGTATTAACTAGTTGAGCAAGCTTAAAGGAGCTGAACATATTTCATTTTAATGCAAAGCTCTGAGTTTTTTTTTATCCGAATAGCAATTGCCTCAGCCGGCTGCAGGATTCTCAGTTTGACGGAATTAGGTAGACTGCTGTTAACGCGATATATTTAAAATGCTAACCATGAAACTAAACAATCTCTACACACCCCGTACACAACACATTTGAAGTAATCAATGTAAACATTATCGTAATTCAGACTAAATACAGA